GACTTCGAAACGCAATGTAACCCCTAATACTAGTCGACGATACAACCCTTAAGACTAAATATGAGGGCAAGTTGATGATTACAATATGTCAAGATGTCAACATCCAAATTTACCCCTCTTGCATTCGGCATAGTCAATGGAGAAAATGACTGAGCGATGCATTAGTTCTTCACGAAGTTGAAGGAAGTAATTAGGGACATCGAGAACTTTGCATTCTAACCAACCAAGGATAGTAAATAATAATGGTATCGTCGAAGTCTTCTCCGAAGCACATCATGATTATTGTATGTATCATATACAGGGAAATCGTTGCGTTATTTAGGAGAGCTGCAAAGGCTTACAATTTTGAAGAGTTTGAGAACTTCATCGTCGAAATAGACAATAAATCACATGCTACATGGTAATAGGCATGGGGATCAAATATTGGGTAAGATCACATTTTTCAGAACGTCGATACAACATGATAACGCCGAACAATGCAGAGTTGCAATAGTGGTTTAATGATCGGCGTGAGGAATCACAGAGTTACACAAGTGTGCTCACTCTGGCTCGTGAAAATAAACTCTTCAAGACTCTAGATGTGGCAAGAAAGGTATGCGTAGAACCACTAGATCAGTTTCGCTTCTTCGTAAGATGTGCACGTAATTTCGGATACATTGTGGAGTTAAATGGTAGCACGTGCATGTGTAGACAATTTCAGTTGGAAAGCTTTCCATGTGCACATGCAGTGGCAGTGGCTATGCATAGATGATTCTCACCACACCTTGTGCAGTGTTTATTATATGACTGATTATTGAAAAACATCGTATATCAAAACAATATTCCCTGTATCAAATGAAGCCGAGTGGAAAGTTTCCAACCGCATTCTGTCACTGAATAATTTGTTACTACCAAAAGTTGGACCACGTACCCCTGGACGTAGACATACGTCTAGTCTATTGAAAAATTACCCCGATCTCATAAGTGTGGTAGGTGCGGCGCAACAGAGCATACTCGACAATTTTGTACAAGCCAAATTTCGTTGCATAACGATGCAACAGATGTGTAATACAATTTAATTTATGTAATATCTATTTTTAGATGGTTATGAATAATAATTGTATAATTAATATTCACCATGTATGAAACTAATTGTTTCTAATTTATTTAATCAATTATTATTTATTTAAATAAATAATATTCATAGATTATTAATATCGTAGATAAAGCATTTAAATATAAAAAAATAATATACAATTACATTCATTCACAGGATACAAATCAAAATTCACAGTGTTTACAAATATTTTGTAATTAAAAAAATTATTTACAACATTTACGGATCACAACTAAAGTCGTACAAATCTCATTCTAACTTATTTCTCCAAATTTGCATATAGGATTGGTTGATTCCATCAACCTTATATCTTATACTAGAAAACTCAATATACTTTATTGCAAACATACCGCAATCGCCCCTGCAATTGAACAATAATGAGTTAGATCTTTACCGTACATAAAAAAATTAAGTATTAAATTTAAAAAAAATGTAGAACCACTTACGATATTGTCTATCTCATCGTGGTCGTATCCCATATGATGGCTACTCTGTCATTTAAAGTCAAGTCCGCCCGTCGAGCAATCATAGGGACTAAAACAGCAATGGATTCCAGATTTTGCTCGAGCTGACCCTGTGTCAGACATGAATGATCGGGATCGTACACATATATAATAAACTCAGCAAACACAATCTCTAAAACTATGCAGTGCTGATTCAAGATCACTGGTATGTACATATGCGTACAACCCTCCCATGACTTCCCTCCGACACATGGTCACATCCCTATGGTCCACTCGAGCATATAATCGGGCACCACATACTTCGTACCGGTACGTTGCAGTGACTGGTACTCAATGTCAATACTTCGGCTGAACTCCAAATTCAGTATGACTTGGCCAGGACTGTCAAATGACCTCGAATAGCTTTGAACTCGATCACGCAACAAGTCCATGGTTAGGTCGATGTGTTGCATTAAGAAATACCAATACAAAAGGAGTTATTTCACTGCATAAACAAAAAAATTATATACACATAAAAAATAATAATATGACTACTTCACTTACCTCGTTTGAAGTGATGATGTCGTGGAACCACTTATAAGCATTGGAGATTGTCGTTTGGCCGAACGTGCGGCTGGTCCTGACAAAAGAAACATAAAAATGTTAAACAAGCGTATACGAGTAACGCATCGTACTTTACTAATATCATAAATAATTTCCGAGGTAAAATTCTTCTCTACTCCATTTGGAACACTTTTCATTTGGCATGGTCCACCTCTCGAAAAAAGTTGGGGATCGTCCCATCGACGAACCTCCTTCTTTTCGTCTCGACCGTGAAGGTTGAAACAACATACTGCGACAGCAATCTTGGCCTCTTGCCGATCGTCTGCTCCGTTACGTCTACAACACGCTTCTTACCCTCGAAGATCGTCATCTCCTCCTCCACGGCCGGCTCTCCCGTCCCCATTGAGCCCATTGCCTCTATCACCCTTTCCTCCTCTCCGACAGGCTCTCCCATCCCCATCGACCCCACCACCTCCGTCATCTCCTCCTCCCCAGCCAGCTCTCCCGTCCCCATCGAGCCCATCGCCTCCGTCATCCTTTCCTCCTCCTCATCCGGCTCTCCCGCCCATCGAGCCCATTGCCTTCGGAGCGCTACGACCTCATCCTAGAGGGATACGACGTGGTCACGTATCAGTGTAACATCGTAGGATAAGTCGTCGACCCTCTCCATCAACCGTCGCTCTAGATCGTCGACCCTCCCCATCAACCGTTGCTCCACATCGGCTTTGAATCCAGTCAGGCGGGTATACAATCATCGATCTCGGTGGGAGAGAAAGTGATTCCCTCGACGGAGGTACATCCTTTCCTCCTCCTCATCCGGCTCTCCCGCCCATCGAGCCCATTGCCTTCGGAGCGCTACGACCTCATCCTAGAGGGATACAACGTGGTCACGTATCAGTGTAACATCGTAGGATAAGTCGTCGACCCTCTCCATCAACCGTCGCTCTAGATCGTCGACCCTCCCCATCAACCGTCGCTCCACATCGGCTTTGAATCCAGTCAGGCGGGTATACAATCATCGATCTCGGATGGAGAGAAAGTGATTCCCTCGACGGAGGTGATCGTCGATCAACTGGACCGTGCTCCTACACAAATAATATTAAAATTATTAACTTAATTAATAATTGCTAACTCATAAAAAATGTTAAACAATAAATTATATAAATTCACACACCTCATGCACCAGCCCTCGACCCTCCTCCTCCATCAATGACGTCAACTCAATTATGACCTCAACCTGACATTATGTTTTCAACTCAGTTAACGATTGCGTAATGATATTTTAAACTAACTCACAATATAAACTACAAAGTGCATAATACTCACACGAGTAATATTAAAATTATTAACTTAATTAATAATTGCTAACTCATAAAAAATGTTAAACAATAAATTATATAAATTCACACACCTCATGCACCAGCCCTCGACCCTCCTCCTCCATCAATGACGTCAACTCAATTATGACCTCAACCTGACATTATGTTTTCAACTCAGTTAACGATTGCGTAATGATATTTTAAACTAGCTCACAATATAAACTACAAAGTGCATAATACTCACACGAGGTCGTCGAGGAGAGCCGATAACTGTTTCGCAGACAGACACCCATCCGCTCGAGATGCTCGCCAATGATGTAGCTGAGGGTATCGTGTCTCCAAAATACGTAGTAACGAAACATTAATCGAACCAAAGTACTATAGATTCATCTAATTAAATGTAAATTATCAATTTAAAATTCTTAATTACATTACATATATTAAAAATCTAAAGAAAATCAAATTAAAAAAATTAAATAAAGGATATAAATATTATTCAATTAAAAATGAAAAAAATTGAAGAATTCTTTAATTTTGGTAAAAATAAAATAAAATATTGTGCTAATTTGGTTAAAAGGAATATTTAATTTTGGTAATTATCAATTAAAATTATATATAAACTTTATAGAATGAAATTATAAATATTAGACAAAGAATACATTAATATTATTCAATTAAAATTGAAAAAAAAAATTGAAGATTTATTTAATTTTGGTAATTTAATAAAACGAATATTTAACTTTGGTAAAAAAATTAAAAGGAAAAATTATTTTACTAATTTGGTTAAAAGGAACATTTAATTTTGGTAATTATCAATTTAAAATTCTTAATTAGATTATATATAAAAAAATCTAAAGAAAATTAAATTATAAAAATTAGATAAAGAATATAAATATTATTCAATTAAAATTGCAAAAATTGAAGATCTCTTTAATTTTGTAATGACCAACAATCTATCAACTCAAGCATATCTTGATCTAATTAAATCGCATAAACGTAAAAAAAATTCAATTAATCATAAACAACGAAAAACTACAAATTCCTCACAAAAACTAACCAAAATAGTTTCGGACGATGGTAGATCGGTGGTGTCTGATCGTCGATTAGAATCACTGTGGCGTCGAGAAAATTAAATTATAAAAATTAGATAAAGAATATAAATATTATTCAATTAAAATTGCAAAAATTGAAGATTTCTTTAATTTTGTAATGACCAACAATCTATCAACTCAAGCATATCTTGATCTAATTAAATCTCATAAACGTAAAAAAAATTCAATTAATCATAAACAACGAAAAACTACAAATTCCTCACAAAAACTAACCAAAATAGTTTCGGACGATGGTAGATCGGTGGTGTCTGATCGTCGATTAGAATCACTGTGGCGTCTGTTGGTTTTGGTTGGTGGTAGATCATACTGTTTTTCCTTGCAATTGTGACATCGATTTTTTTGAGTCGATCGGTTAGAGAGGATTTCAAAATAATTTGTTTGCTTCAAGGGTAAAATCGACTTTTTATGTGTAAAGTTATGTTTTAACTTTTCTTTTTTTATTGATTTAATCCGTGGCCAATATTAAAATATGCTACACAACCATTTCCCACTATTTCCTCCCAAATTCCCTTGGTACTTGTTAGAAGATGGCTTCTCTCGACAGCGACGTGACTATGGTTCCGGCCGGTGAGGGCTCCTCCGGCGCCGGGCCATCCTCCATCAATTCGACACCTGGGACGCCGTTATCCAGTAAGAAATCCAAGCGATTTGAGATCAAGAAGTGGAACGCTGTTTCTCTTTGGGCTTGGGGTATGAGCTCTTATGCTAACTTCGAGCTCGCACATGATTATTTATTTTTTATTATTCTAATGTATTTATGCGTGTAAATCTATATATGAATTGTGTTGGTATGATTTATGTATCCTGATTTTAGGACTTCGAAAAACCCTAACGCAAAAATATTATCTCGCAATACAGATATTGTGGTGGATAACTGTGCGATTTGCAGGAACCATATTATGGATCTCTGTGAGTTTTGATCTTCGTTTTCCTTTTCTTGATCTCTATTTTTTGGGGATAATTTAAATTTTTTTATGTAATAACTCTGATGTTGTAAATAGGCATAGAATGTCAGGCTAATCAAGCTAGTGCCACAAGCGAGGAGTGTACTGTTGCTTGGGGTATGTGGCTTCTCCAAAACCCTATAGTTTAGAAATATCCTCCTGTGGATCTTATTACATTAACCTGTTGTCTTATGCCTATTGGTTTTTACTATGATTGGATTTGATGGTATTCAAATTAAGTATAGCATCCTAGTCTCTACAAGGACAGTTTAGTTTATCTATGTGCCTGTTCGACATTGATTATGAGAATTGATTTTTTGACTGTTAGGGAGAAAAGTGGAGGCCACATGTGAGTGGTGTAGAAGTCAAATATGACGGTTGAAATAGTGAAATAACGGTTAAAAAATCAATTTTTTGGGGGTGAAAAAGCACTACCAAACGGGGGCTATATATGGAGGTTATGATATAACATGCGGTGTCTTCTTTGCTATTTTGAGAACGTCAAAAGTCTTGTGGAAAATTAATTTCTATAGTTAATATTTGAATAATTGTTTCTTCTTCACATTTTGTTACATAACTTTCTAATGGGGAGGTTGTCGTGTATCTTTAAGACTGATTCTTGGATTTTAGTTGGTCTTTTAGTTTAAACTACATTTTTTTAATGCTATGGTGATACATATTCCATATGATCCTTGTGATGGAAATTGAAATGATCTCCACTAGGAATTTTGGGTTAAACTCAGTCAACTAAGTTGATTATTGCTTGTTAGTTTGCGAGGCCATTTTTGTTATTTTATTATTCAAAATAACAAAAAAGTGATTGCCTCATCTAGAGTGAAGAAAAAAATGGTGATGAGTGAGAAAAAAATGCTACAAGATGATTTCACACCTGACAATAAATAATTTTTTTATCAGTTTTGTGCTCTGTTTCAATTGTTAGCAACTCTATATAGAGATGCTTGTCAGGGTTTGGTTTTTCTTTACATGAATTTTTATAACGGATCCCTAATTTAAGTAAGAGTCCCTTAGTATTTATTCTTTATATGAACCAAAGTGATGCTTACTTAATGCCCTTGTGCATGTCTTACTGGAAGTGCCTATCTAACACATTTTCCTTCCTTTCATGATTATTTTAGATCGATTTGTATATTAGTGTATTTGTTTATTTTCCTTATTCGTGAGGTGGTTTGTTGGGAGATTTCTTCTTCTAAAGTCATACAATGTGTCTTTTAGTGCTCTTTAGGTAACCATTATATTACAAAGCACGTGTTCACCCAAATCAAGTAAACAAATGTATATGGATTATATTCTAGTTTTAGTGGTGTAAGAACATAACAATTTGACAACTAACAATTGAAAATGAAAAGAAGCAAGAAAGAGAAAAGGATCCAAGAAGAGAAGAATTTAGGATGAGAAAATCAATTTATATCATATATTCAAGGGTACTTGTTACAATGAATTAGTCTTCTTAAGCACATAAGTTAAAATCTAAAGAAGTTTTAATAAACTAGAGCTTTGTCGAAATATTAAAACTAATCTTATCTAAACAAACATAACTTGAATTAAACTCTAATTTAAAATTCTATCTAAACTCTTATGTATATATTCATCATTTCTCCCTAGCTAACTTAACTCGATTTCGGTGAGATAGACTGTAGCTTCATACTCTAAGAATGTCGATCTTTTGTCATGATCAAGTGTTGATAGCGAGCTCGACAACAACGTATAATGAACTAACAGAACCAATAATATGACACTAACTGTTTATGTAAATTATTCCTAAGAATGTGGTAGACCAAGAGGACAATCTCTCCTAATTGAGTAGCGACGTGGAATTCCAAAAAGCCAAAATTTATGTAACTAATCTACTAAAAGTTCAATTGGCTAGCATAATTAGGAGCACAAGAGTGAGTACTGCAAATTACCCGCAAATTTAAATGGTTGCAACATCAAAGGCTTTAAAGGGTCCTAATAAAGAAATAATTTTGTTATATTGAAAATATAACTTTAGTTTAGTTAGATATATTGCTTATATGTGAATGGTCCAAAAAAATTTCTTGACGTGTTTAGGGTATCAAATAAAAGAACATGCAATAAATCATAATAATATTTAAAGCCTTTGTGCATATATTGCTCATAAAAAACAAGGTCATAGGTTTCTTCATTGAAAATAATGTCTTTTCTTCTCGACATGACAATTAGGAACATTTACAACAAAGTGAGGAGTGAAAATAGTATGACGATAACTAGTCAACGTATGCAAGCAAATAATTGCCTTGGAAAAGATGTGGTAACCTAGGAAGTGTCATGCAGTTGAGGTAACGTCACAATAAAGTCATTGTTAAAGTTAGGCAAAGGAGTAGGTAAGAACAATTTCGACACGAAGTGAGGACATGAAATATTTGGTGTAGGTGACAATGACTGTAATTTCCTACCTATATTAGTGTTAAGCTAAGAAGCACTGACAACTGTTTGTGTTGAACAAGTTAGTACGATTTTTCAAAAATGTTTTGACACGATAAGTCCTCAATACGCTTATTAAGATATAATTTTTCTATAATAAAAAATGGTAAAATGTTTGATCCACATATAGTAGCATTAGATTGTTCTATAGTAGTTGGCTAATATTCTGTTACAGAACAGATGGCAGTCCACATGATTGTGACTTAAGGACCATTTCAATTGAAAATCCCTTTTTTGTCTTGGTTAATTGAAATTACAAATATACACTATCGCTAGTAGATTTTTGTTAAAACGGTTAAATTGGGGGAAAAAAACTATCAAATAGATTGTAGGAAAAGTCAATTAAATAATTGCAATCCTTGACTATGTTTCAGATCATTAAATGTTTTGGGGCCCACAACATTTGAATTGGAAATAGATTTTTTTTTTGGAAATAATGAGATCTGAACACCCATTTTCATTCAAGAACCATAAAATAGGGTTAACTATCTTCGTTTTTCTTTCTTAGCATCGATCTTGTTTACTATCTTCAAAGGCCTTAGTCTTCCTTAACCGTCGATTGAAATCGCAGCCTTAACAGTTCTTCCTCAATCCTTTGACTAAAATAGTAGCATCAACACTTTCTCAAATTGACTAATGAAGTTACTTGAGCAGTTCTTTTTCTACAAAACTTCAGTTTACAGTAGTCTTCTTCATTTCTTCGTCATCTTTGACATGCCTTCGGTTCTCTGTCTTGACTTGCCTATAGTCCTTCATCGTTTCCGATACATTGCAATGGACCTTAACATGTGTCTATGACGTGTCAGAGACATACGGGTGTTCAATACGCCCCGAACATTGATCACCAATGTTGACAGCATATCGGTGCTTCCCAAGTGTGAATCGGTTTTTATAAAGAGTTTGATTAAAAGATGAAAACATAATTTTTTTGTCTTGAACGTAGGCGTTCGATCTCATGGGCTTACGTCCTACAATCCTAGCATTTGTCAATTATCTATAATATATTAAAATATCACATTAAGGGAGAATTATTTTTTGGACGATTTTATTATCATTTATGAAATTTGTGTTATTAATTCTAAATAATTAACATTCGCATTAATCTAGATTCAATAAATTTTCACTTGATGAATCTTGAATTACATGAATTTAGAGTTATTATAGATGAATTTATTCATATTCATATATCTGAAAATTTTAAAGAGTTTCAATTTATGTATTAACAATTAATTTTATATATCAAATGTAATAGAAAAAAGATTACTCATTTATATTATTTCATCATTACAAAAAATTTGAATCAAAGAAATTGAGATTTTAGAGTATAATTTGAGTACAATTTTCTTATCTTAAATTTCTATATTAAATTTTATTTTCTTTAATTCGTTCGAAACTTATCAAATCCTCCAACAAATTGGTATCAAATATTACTTTTCCATAACTTATACAGTATTTTAAAATAATATGCAATGCACATTTAACTTTGATTAGTACCCACTAAAATTATACATGTTGCCCTTGCGATCGCAAGGCATGAACTTTGTCCTCTTTCCCATTTTGGTTCTTGATTTCTTTTTCTTGTCGGTTTGAAATCTCTTTTGTACTTCTTTTGAGTTTCTCAACTTCTAAGTTAATCGAAATTGGTCAATGTCATCTCAATCATCATCATTTGTTTCGAATCAAATAGCAACTAAAAACCAGCAAAAAATGTGCGATTTTGTGTGTGTTTTTAATGTGTTTTTTTATTTTTCAGTATGAGTCCAAGCAATTAAATGATAAATTAAGGTTCCGGTATAACAAAATATACGTAACATGGACCAAGAGCAGGTTGCTACAAGTTCTTAGGCGAAATTAGGTTTTTCGAAACTCAATTTTGAAATTTATTAGTGAAGCATAATCTTTATCCGTTCTTTGAAGATGACGTCTGCTCAATTTTGTTGCACAAGAGCGGTCTAAAAATTATTACCCAAAGCTTCAATCCCAATCTTGATTTGTTACCTTAATTATATGTAAAATAATTATCAAAAGATAAGAATTACTCTTTACTTGAAATTCTGCAATAATTATGATAACAACCTTATCATAAAAAATATGTATCATCACAAAAGATTAATCATATAATAAAAGATAATAATAAGAGGTCAATGTGACAACCTTAACGGTTCGGGTGTCACTAAACTAAAACTAATTAAAGAAATATTCAACATAATCATATAAAATATTTAAGCACTTACCAAAATTCAAATAATGTAATGAATTTAATAAATTAACTTGAAATGAGAAATATCTTAAAATATTTAAAATCTAATAAAATAATAGTTTGACAACGTAATAATTTTATTATTGAAACTTTTGCCACTATAAGCTATCTTCGTGCTGACTGCGTCGAATCGTCAATTAACTAAAAGTAGAGATATAATGGGGTGAAAATGATTCTCAATAAGCGTGCATGGATAATGAATTCATATATGTATTTTTACGAAAAATGCATAACTTGCATAGGGAGACACGAAAATTAGACCAAACTTATATGGTGCTAAATTCTGGTGCGTAGCGCTACTAAACTCCGGTCTATTCTTAATACAATATACGTAACATGGACCAAACATAACATAGTCGTAGAAATATTATATACATAAACATTAGCCACCATTAACATAAAGCACAACTTAATTTTTTTACTGGACAACTCAAAATGATAAAATGAGTTATTGCTGAAAAGAGATCCTTGAGCCGTGTGGGGGGTTGATTATTCTTGTATGATTGTTTAAGTGTACGACTATGTTTAATATCAAAATGACAAGAGAGAGAG